GGGCTGGAGAATCACGCTGGGCAATGCAGGCCCCGAAGCTGCAGGATCTAACTGAGAAGCCCTGCAGGGAGAGAGGGGAGACATCAGCACAGGGCAGGGACTAGCGGCACTGGGGAAGGGCCACAGGGGGGGGATCTGACAGGCGCCACGGCCTCTCTAGAGGTGTGTCTGGAGCCTCCGGGTGGGGAGATGCTTTTGTAGGGCCCAGGATGCTCTGACCCTGGGAGTAGCTCTAGGTTTGGCCCAAATGGCACTAATGAGGGAGATGGAGACTCCTCCTCTTCCTCACTGCAAATGTTCCACGTTCCAGTTCCCACCCATGTTGGGCTGGGCAAGTGTTGGGGTGAAAGGGCAGGGGCAGCTGCTCCATGGACTCCCTGTACAGCCTGTGGTCCCTGAGGGGGAGGGGGCTTCGTAGGGGTAGACTGAGATGGAAATTACCTGTTGGCTGGGGAACGGGGCGGCCTGGAAAACAAGGAGAAACATGGTGAGAGTCTCACCAGATGCAGCCCCTCTGAGAGATCAGAGATCCTACCCCAGCCCTGAGGTGCAGAGCAGACCCCATTAGGGGCCCCGCAACACCCCGTTATAAAACTAAATCACAGTCTCACCCAAACAGGGCTGGATATAGGGATTCACTGTGTGCACGTGTAGATATTTCCCTGAACTGGATTCACTACTCTGTGCTTGGTCTCTATTTCCAGACAACATTCAGCGAGGATGAATTCAAGCAGGGTCACACTTGTGTGAGCCACAGTATCAGCTAGGAAGGTGTGTCTGCATCTTCACTACATGACCCAAGACAGGCAGGGAGACATGGGCAGAATCAAGTGTCAGGAACAGCCCTAGACCAGAGCATGGCTGTGCACATTTTGGAGGAGCCCTTGCTATGTTTTTCTTTTCTGCCAAAAACAAAAATTGAAAATTTAGGGACGAAGGAGGTGGTGAGGGGTGTCAGCCATAAGGACACTGATTCTGATAAGCATGGATGCCAGAAAAAATATACTAGCCTTTCATACCACAGACACTTTTCCTCAAAATAGTAAACAAAACCCACCTGCTGGAAATTGCAGTGAGCATTATATGTGAGAAATATGGTACGAGCAGCTTCCCCTAGTTCCCAGATAAGTGTCAAAGCTGCACGGGCCTCACAGGGAGCAGAGCCAGGAGCAGTGCTTTCTCCTTTCTGCTGCTGCTCCTCATCTCCTGCCTCCAGGAAAGGTCTGTTATTCTCCCCTCTGCTGTTCACAATGCAGGGGGACATTTTCTCCCTGGGTCTGTTGTAGGTGAGACAATCCTTCCCCTGTCCAACATCCCTCCGTGACTGGGTGGGCCAGGGGTGAGACCAGAACAACTGACACCTGCAGGCCTTTCACACCTGCAGGGCTGAGGATCTACATTACATTGCAGTGAACAAAATCAGTCTGACCCACCAGCTGGCAAAGTGTCCTCTGCTGGAGCAACAAGGTCAGAGACAAGGGAAGCTGAAATTAAGGTCTGGTGAGAGAATAATTTTTGCCAGGGGAAAACCTTGCTCTGTCTCAGCAGACGAGCAACAGGACAGAGGAGAGAGATTTGGGACAGAAAGCCCCCCTGATACCTCAGTCCTCTGAAGTCCCACAGTGGAGTAAACCCAAGTGCCCCCACCCCCTTGGGACTGGCACCTCCGAAACCAGGGTCGCTGCCCTGAAGCAGAGGAGAGGAAATGCCCAGAGTCAAGGCAGTGGCTGCTCTGCCTCCCCACGGCCCCTGCTCTGCCCTGCCCCTTAGAGGAGGGAGGGACAGTGGGATCCAGCCCCAGCCCCAGGAGGTGAGAAACTGGGAGTCCCCTGCCAGACTCCAGGGCAGCTCATACTGGGGTCTGAGAGGGAGTGGAGCCTGCAGACAGACCTACAGACCAAGCATTTTGCCCCAACAACGCCTTGGTTCCAGCACCCCAGCCGTGCCCCTCACCTTTCTTGTTCCTCAGGTAGACGAGGAGTCCCAGCGCCAGGAAGATCAGCCCCAGCACAAAGCCCCCGACCCCCGTCAGCATCTTGCTCCTGGCTGAGTCTGCCTGAGCCTCTGTGGGGACAGGAGCCAGAGGGGGAGGGTTCAGTCTGGGCTCCTGCATCCTGCTAACACCCCTGCCCCTGCTCCTGGGGTGGGGTAGGGGCTCTGACCCCAGACAGCATTTGAGGGACTACACAGAGCGAGAGCCCCACCACCAAGATCTCAGGGGCTGCTCCAAGATTCCCAGGCTCTTACCCCAGTGCATGGTGATGGACCCCGGCAGGCTGCTGTGCTCCACCTGGCAGGTGTAGACGTCCCCGCTCCGGGGGGTCATTTCCAGCATCACCAGGATCTGGAAGGTCCAGTCTCCGTTCTGCATCAGCTCCGTGGACACCACTCCGGCCGTCTGCTCCTGCCCGTTCTTCAACCACTTGACCTCTGTCCCACTAAAACCCCATCACAGAGCAAACCAGTGTGCCCTGATTTTGTTGGGGAGACTTTCACCTTGGGCTTCACTGGGGGGGAAAGAGATGGAGAGAATGAGCTGGGAGAAAGAATGATTCCTCTATCAGCACACATTCTTTTCCTCAAGAACAGGTAACTGGGCTGTGCAATGTGAATCTTAACTGAGATATACGGTAAGAGCACTTTCCGAGCAAATGTGTAAGTCAAATCTGCAGGAACTTTCAAGAAGCGGAGCAAGTGGGAGCCTCCCTGCTGCTACGTGGTTACTTATGGTAAGGAAATGTTTTTTTCCCCCTACTGCACATTGTTGCTGCTGCATTCTTGGCTGCATGTTGCATTCAAGAAATTATGATTTTTTTTTAGTTAAAGCTAAACTTTAATTTCAGTTTCTTTTTTTTTTAGTTTCAAATGACCCGAATCCAGAACACAACACTTCCCAGAGACGAGCCTATGAGCTCCATTTCAGCAACCTGCTGGATGCTAGAGATCATGGACTAAACATAGACACTGGATTTTTGATACATTATAATCTCCCTGACAACTGACTCCCAGCCCAACACAGCCCAGCCCAGCCCAGCCCCTGGCTTCTTTACTTCTCATCCCATCCAGGAAGAGCACACACTGACTGCTGCAGCTTCCTGAGCCTGACGAAGGGTTTTTGAACCAGAAAGCTTGCTTAATAACTATTCTCCAACCATTTGGGTTGGTCTAATAAAAGATATCAAATTCACCCAAGGAACCTTGTCTGCCTGAATCCAGGAGTGTCTTTCAAAGGCTCTGGGTTCCCTTTTTCATTCAAGATGTCAGGTGGAGACCTCTCCATTTTGGAGTCCAAGCTCTATGGCTGCAGCACCAAGTGTCCTGTCCTGGGTTAATGGTTTCTAGCTGTGGACACCCAGGGGCTTTGCTTGGGACTGCCAGAGAGTGGCAATTATATCCCAGGTTTGGGACCTGGCCCTGTCCCCAGGGGACCGCATCATGTGTCTCATCAGCAGACATTAGGGTTTTCCATTTGCTGCAGAAAAATGTCAATGTTCTCCTTTAAAGAGAAAAGGTGGTCGGGTAGAGGCGCAGTCCCGCATGCAAGTCCCGCTGGTCTGCTACTCCTCACCCTGCTGGTTTAGATTCATAGATGTTAGGGTCAGAAGGG